TTCGGGAAGCAGGCATGCTTTTGAGTCGACTGAAAAGCATGGTACAGGTTCGGGAAGCAGGCATGCTTTTGAGTCGACTCAAAAGCATGGTACAGATTCGGGAAGCAGGCATGCTTTTGAGTCGACTCAAAAGCATGGTACAGGTTCGGGAAGCAGGCATGCTTTTGAGTCGACTCAAAAGCATGGTACAGGTTCGGGAAGCAGGCATGCTTTTGAGTCGACTCAAAAGCATGGTACAGGTTCGGGAAGCAGGCATGCTTTTGAGTCGACTCAAAAGCATGGTACAGGTTCGGGAAGCAGGCATGCTTTTGAGTCGACTCAAAAGCATGGTACAGGTTCGGGAAGCAGGCATGCTTTTGAGTCGACTGAAAAGCATGGTACAGGTTCGGGAAGCAGGCATGCTTTTGAGTCGACTGAAAAGCATGGTACAGGTTCGGGAAGCAGGCATGCTTTTGAGTCGACTCAAAAGCATGGTACAGGTTCGGGAAGCAGGCATGCTTTTGAGTCGACTCAAAAGCATGGTACAGGTTCGGGAAGCAGGCATGCTTTTGAGTCGACTCAAAAGCATGGTACAGGTTCGGGAAGCAGGCATGCTTTTGAGTCGACTGAAAAGCATGGTACAGGTTCGGGAAGCAGGCATGCTTTTGAGTCGACTCAAAAGCATGGTACAGGTTCGGGAAGCAGGCATGCTTTTGAGTCGACTCAAAAGCATGGTACAGGTTCGGGATGTTTGAAGAGAGAGAATTGATACATTGAATAATGAGCCAAGAGGCTCTTTAGTACAAACAATGAGCAAGAGAGAGATGAGAGGGAAGCTTACCCTATTGGCCAATAAGTTGGCCAATGGGTGAGCTTGATTGTGACCCAAGCAACCACAAATGTGTGTTGGTTGGGATTGGTTGAGCTAAGGACCAATCCCAACCAACCACAAAATGTGGTTGGAGGGTACACTAAGCAACCCCCCAATTTATAAATGTGCTACACTTCTAGCCTATGTATGTTGTATGTAGGGATGGGCATTTGGCCCGGACGGGTCGGGTTACCCGACCCGACCCGCCTAAAATGGCGGGTCGGGTCAGGAATGCTGAGAATGTCGACCCGTCCGGGTCGGGTCGGGTTTACCCGGGCGGGTCGGGTCGACCCGTGACCCGTCAATGTGACTTATAGACGGGTATCAGCGACCCGCCGGGTCGGGTTGACCCGTCCCGTCCGGGTCGCATACCCAGTCAAATGACAGGGTTACCCGACCCGTTCTCTGCTCAGGGTACAATTTGGAGAGGGGGAGAACATCAGTTGGTTTTGATGTTTTGTTTCCCTCGACATTCAGATCCAGTCTCTAATCAAGTTAGTAAATCTCCACTGCACCTACCAAAACTCTTACAGTCTTCACTTCAATGTTAGCACTATTTTAATATTTATATTCATTATAGGCATAGGCGCTCCTGCCATTACGCAGTGTCGCACGACCAGGGGCGCAGCAGCCCACTCGCGGCCACGCATTGGCGGGATCGCGGCCACGCATTGGCGGGATCGCGACCACGCATTGGCGGGATCGCGGCCACGCATTGGCAGGATCGTGTCCCCGCAATAGCGCGATCTCGGCCCCGCATTTGCGCAGCGCGATCGCGGCCCCGCATATGCGCGATCGCGGCACCACATTAGGGCAGCGCGATCGCGGCCACGCATTGGCGGGATCGCATCCCCGCAATAGCGCGATAGCGGCCTTGCAGTAGCGCGAACGCCACCAGCCAGAATCGCGGTCTCCACCTCCAGCATCGCGAACGCCACCTGGAGCAGCGCCAAGGCGCCACCATACCCTGCTGCTATGTAGCATGTTTTGATCCGACCCGACCCGACTCGTGGTGTAACCGACCCGGTTACGGGTCACAAATACCCGTTCCAACGGGGCGGGTCGGGTCACCAAAACAGAGTCAAACCCGACCCGCTAACCCGACCCGACCCGACCCGTTAAGCTAACGGGTCGCCCTAAACGGGACGGGTCGGGCCGGGTCGGGCCAGATGCCCGTGCCTAGTTGTATGAGATATGAAATTACAACACAACCCCCCAACATGCATAAGGCTAGAAGGCTAAAATCAAGAGGCGGGAGGCGACTTAGGAGGAGTGAGGCCAAGAAGACGAAGTAGGAAAGAGTGAGCGGCATGAGGAAGAGCTTTTGTGAAGATGTTGGCAAGGTTGGCCGCCGAGTCAACCTTGTCGAGGCGAAGGTGCCCCGCCTGAACAAGATCGCGAATGAAGAAATGACGGAGCTCAATGTGCTTGGAGCGCCCGTGAAACACAGCATCTTTGGTGAGGTGAATGGTACTAGCATTGTCACACCAAATTGTGGGACAGCGCTCGGGGGCACCAAGTTCCTCAAGAAGGAAGGTGAGCCAGCGGGCCTCTTGCGCAGCCATGGTGGCGGCATACAATTCCGCCTCGCAGGAGGAGAGGGCTGCAGCCGAGGAGCGGGTGGAGCGCCAGCTGATAAGGCCGCTGCCAAGAGAGAAGCCATAGCCCTGGGAGGAGCGACGATCTGGCCGGGAATCAGCCCAGGAGGAGTCACTGTAGCCGCTGAGAAAAGGTGGGGAGGGGCCGCCAAGGGTAAGGACATAGTCCTTGGTGCCACGAAGGTACCGGAGGACACGCTTGGCGGCCTGCCAGTGCTCTTCCGTATGCTTGCCTGCGCCAACAAAACGAGCGAGGACGCTGATGGGGTAGGCAAGGTCAGGGCAAGTGGAGACCATGGCGTACATGAGGGAGCCGATGAGCTCGGGATAAGGATGGGAGGAGGCTGAGGGGGAGGTGGGTGGAGAGAGGTGGTGCCCGACAGAAAGAGGTGTATGTTGGGCGCCGCCGCGGGCCATGTCAAACCGCTCCAAGACCTGCTGCAAGTAATGACCCTGGGAGAGTGAGATGGTGCGGGCGGAGCGGTCACGAGTGATGGTCATGCCCAGATAATGCTGCAGCTCTCCCAAGTCTTTGCACTTGAGACGGGTGCCCAACTCAGCCTTAACATGCTCCAACTCTCCAAGGTCGGCAGTGAGCAGAATCATGTCATCGACATACACAAGGATGTAAAATGGGGAGGGGGAGGTGCGGAGGAAGAGGCTGGCGTCAGAGTGGGAGGTGCGGAACCCAAGTTCAGCAAGGGTGGCGGCAAGTCTAGCATGCCACTCCCTCGGGGCCTGTCGGAGCCCATACACCGGTCGACGCAGCTGCCAGACAGAGTCTGCTGGGAAGGGGAGGTGAAAGCCGGCTGGACGCTCCATGTAGATAAGCTCGCGGAGGACGCCTTGTAGGAAGGCGTTAGAAACGTCCATCGAGTGGATCTCCATATTGAGGCGAGCGGCGAGGTCGAGCACGGCGCGAACAGTAGCAGGCTTGGCAGTAGGGGAGAAGGTATCGAAGAAGTCAAAACCATACCGCTGCGTGAACCTCTTGGCGCAGTAACGAGCCTTATAAACGGGCGGCTCCCCTGGCAGCTGCTTGACGCGAAACACCCACTTTCCTTTCACCACGTTCGTAGGGGCGGGAGGGCGAGGCACATCGACAAAAGAGGAGTTGCCGATAAAGGCCTCCAGCTCCTTGATGATGGCGGCGAGCCATAGCGGAGCGTCAGGGCACGCCATTGCCTCCTCGTACATGGTAGGAACGAAAATGGAGGGAGCAGAGGAGAAGGCGAAGACAGGTGTGCCAAAGAGGTCGAACGTGATGGGTAGAAGCGAGGGGTCATAAAGGTGGAGGTCAAGGAACTCTTCATGGGAGTCCTCAGAGAGGGAGGTGTGGAAGGCGCGGATGACTGCTGGTGCCGCTGCTGGTGCTGTTGGTGGAGGCGTTGCCGGTGTCGGTGCTGGTACTGCTGCTGGTGCCGCTGCTGGTGCCGCTGCTGGTGCCGCTGCTGGTGCCGTTGCTAGTGCCGCTGCTGGTTCTGTTGCTGGTACTGTTGCTGGTGCTGCTGCTGGTGCCGCTGCTGGTGCCGCTGCTGGTCCCGCTGCTGCTGCCGATGCCGCTCCCGCTGCTGCTGCCGCTGCTGGTCCTGCTGCTGCTGCGGCTGCTAGCGCTGCTGCTGGTGCCGCTGCTGGTCCCACTGCTGGTGCCGCTGGTGGAGAGGAGGTGGCTGAGGGGGCTGTTGCATGAGGGGCTTGATGCAAGACAGCCTGGAAGAAGTGACGGAGGAGGGGGGAGAGAGGGGGGAGGGTAGAGGTAGAGAGGGTAACGGGAGGCGGTGCACCAAGGATACCGTCACATGACCTGGTGTGGGGATACCGGGTGAGTATGGTGCGGGAAGGGGGAGGACGGGTTGGTGGCGAGGGAGAGGAAGGGGGGGGGGGGAGGGGTACTAGGAGAGGAGTGAGCGGGGGAGACAGGAGAAGACAGAGGTTCCGGGTCAAAGATGTCACCAGAAGAGGGAGGGGCACCATGGGACTGGGACGGCGGAGAAGGGGGGGGTGGGAGGATGGGGGGAGGAGGGAGTAGTGGGGGAGGGGTAAGCATGGGCATTTGACCCGACCCGGCCCGACCCGTCCCGTTGAGGGCGACCCGTTAGCTTAACGGGCCGGGTCGGGTCGGGGTAGCGGGTCGGGTTTGACTTTGTTTTGGTGACCCGACCCGCCCCGTGGGAACGGGTATTTGTGACCCGTTACCGGGTCGGTTACACCACGGGTCGGGTCGGGTCGGATCAAAATATGCTACATAGCAGCAGAGTATGGGGGTTAGGTCTGAATTGCAACATTGTAAACTACATGTTACAATTATATTCTTAAGTTTATACGTACCTTACATTAGCCCAAGATGCATGAATTCCAGGGCATCCAAACATGAAATGCAGAAGTTTTTTCCCTTAAAACAAATGTCTAAAGCGTATGTCAATAGACCAACAACCCTGTTTGTGAAGTGACTGTCAATCAAGCATGGTAATAAATAAAATCTACTGTATCTCCAAAAGGGTAAAGGCAAATGGCCTAAGGCCTATAGCGACCACTCCCGCAGCAAACATTACTCAAAACCCATCGTCCTCGGCCTCATAGCACAACTCCACAAGCGAACGCGCAGCCCCTGCCACGTTCAATGACCTGCCGCTCGTGTTCTGCGCCATCCATGACTTGATAGCCATGAGGGCGCTAACACGAGGGGCGCTCAAGCGGTGACGCTGCCATGTCACTACGTTCCTGCCCTGGCTAAAAGCGCGCTCGCTCGCTGCAGATGTGGCTGGCACTGCCAGATAGTCCCGAGCCATTTCCCTCAAACCCTCTAAATCCTTCCTATCACGCCAGTACGCTAGCGGGCAACCCTTCTGTCTACCCTCAGCCAAGTATATGTCCACCTCGTCACTTCTCCGCCCCCCCCTTGCTGCCTCAAATGCATCCATCTGTGCAAAAAGCGCATTTTCGAAGCTAACCCCCCCGCTGCCAGCGGCACGCGACGTCCCTGCGGCCTGAACACTAACACCAGCGCCGTCAGTGACCTCCCCCATGCCACTCGTAACCTCACCACCACCTCCCCGACTGCGCACTCTCTCCTGATATGCGACCAAACGATCGCGCACCAGGCGCATCACCGTCGGCTCATCCACGCCCTGCACACTCCTAGCACATCCCCCCACCTCTGTCACTTGCGCTGCATTGAGCGCCTCCCACTGGGGCATCTGGAAGAAGATTGTCTTGTAGCGGGGGTCAAGGAAGGTGGCGATCGCCAACTCTTCCTTGGTGCCGTACGGGTACTTCTTCAGCTTGCCGAGGGCTTTGGTGATGAGGGCCTGTGTGAGGGGTGAGACGGCTGGCTCGCGGTAGGTGATTTCCATCTTGTCCAGCAGTTGGTTGTACAGCGGCACCACCGCTGCAGCTGTCGGGTACAAGGAAGCCTCAGCTACCTTGGTGATCGAGTGGAAGGGCTGAAGAAAGTTCTTCAGCTCGACAAGCGCGTCCCAGTGGACGTCACTGAGACGTATTTTGTCGAGCTTCTCGCGTAGCCTAGGGGGGGGGGGGGGGCTGGTATAGGACAACAACAAGGGTGGTACAGAGGGTTCACAAACTTAGTATACGATGGTGATGAAGGTAGACAACTCAACCCCCTTTCAAATCCTGCCCATACTCACGACCCTTGGGCGCCACACCATTCTCCCACACTCACTATTCGATACAGTCACAACTCCTCTAGCCCCCGACCAGCTACCCAAACTCACCATTCAATATAGTCACAACCCTTGGTGCGCCACACCAGCCCCGTATACTCACCATCACCCAACATATACACACTACCGGAGCCTATCACTCACGTCAGTCCGGCTGAAAAACACCGTCAGTGCCTGCTGCAGCTCCAAGGCGCGGCAGATCATCTCGTAAGTGGAGCCCCAACGTGTAGGCGAGTCGGAGATCAGACGTAGCACCTTCGCTTTGTCTCTGTCTGCCAACCTGCGCTGCAGACTGGCAAAAGCCTCTGACCGCTGGACCGACCATCCAATGTATGAACACGCATCCCGTATGCGTTTCAACGCCTCCTTCACATCATCCAACTTTAATGCCTCCTGCACTGCAATGTTCATGACATGTGCAAGACAGCTGTGTACGGAAAGGGCATAAGGGAAGGAAACAGATTTAGCTCAATTAGAGGCCCGACCTCGTGATAAATTTACTACTACAGTATGCTGCCAAAGTGCCACATTTGAATTGATGCATGACAGGACATACCGAACGTGACGCCCAATGTCGAGCAGTGGATTAGCTGTCCAGGCCCCTGGCCCCTCTGCTGGGTCCCCCGACAGAAGGCGCATCGCCTTGTTGTTGTTCTCCGCATTGTCCGTCGTCACAGCAAACACTACATCCTGCAGGCCAGCCTCGGTCAAGATGCGCTCGAGGGTCTCTGCTATGAGAGACCCTGTGTGCGAACCCTCCAACTGCACGAAATCCAAAATCCCCGAACGTAGCCTGAACTCACTGGTGATCCAGTGGACGGTCACACACATGAAAGCTGTATGGTTCTCACTGGTCCAGATGTCCGTGCTAAGGGACACCCTCCCCGCGAGACCGTCGCCAACGATCTCCTGCCTCAGCTCCTCTCGAGCCACCTCACTGAATGCTTGCATGTCCCGTGCCAAACGGTAACGTGACCCCAGCAAATCCTTGGCCGATGGATTCAGCAAGGCGACAAATCGACGGAACTGGTGAGGTCGGGCAGGGACAAAGAAGCAAACACACACAAAGCATTGTCCCAGCTGTGTACCAAGGCATCCCAACCCAACTGAGATGTTCAGACAGGATTTGAGACTCCCGGTGCAGGAATAGAGGGTAGAGTAGTTGTTGTTTGACTCACCGAAGCTCGGTCGACAAGACGAAACGGAAGATCCGCATCAGCAAACAACTCTACGAGAGCACTGCGTAACTCGTCCAGCGACACCCTTGGACTCATGAACGCGTGCATGCCAACACCACTACGACTCCCACTCCCCCCCCCCCCCTGCGCCACTGCCCGCCGCGGCTGCAGCAGCTGGGATGTTCGGCCAGGCAGCCGCGTGCTCCCATGCACCACCGTGCGGGTTGGGCACTGGTGGCCCATCGCCCGACACGCCATAGCCGCCCCAAGGAAACTCTAGGTCCTTTGGCTTCGCCGGGTCCAGGAACCGCCGCACCCAAATCTGCACATTAGGGTAGTGCGCGCGCTTGACATGCTTCCACCCAGTCCCCGTGCTACCCCCATCCCATCCCATTACGTCCCCACACACCCGACACGGACGACAACCATCCTCAAGCTCACCAAACATTCCCACAAGTAAACCAGGGTAGTGCTTCCCTGCCAAACCCTCAACCACCGAATCCTTAGGCAAATCCTCCCTTCGTTGACGCTTTGACGCACGCCCACGACTCCCCGCTGTCCCACCACCCCGACTGATGCCACCAGCACGCAACGGCGTAGACCCAACACCATCGGACCGTTGAGTGGGTGCATTGCCTGGCCCTGGATCGGGCGCAGCCTCGGCCGCTCTCCCACCACCACTGCCACCGCGCCCAGCCCTTGCAGCACTATGCGCAACCCTCCCAACCCTCCCCCCACCTCGTCCATCTACTGGGGGGCCGCTAGCATGCCCCCCACTGTGCCCCCCTGCATTGCCTACGGCCTGCGCACGCGCAGAAGACCGACCCTGCCCACGACCAACCCGTCCCCCCCCACGACCCCCTCGACCCCTTCCTCCCCGTCCATTATCCCCTCCATGCAGCTCCCTGGCATTGCGGCCAGCACCCTCCCCCTCCTGCTCTTGCACCTCCTCCTCCACATCCGCGTCCCCTCCCGCCCCCGCTGCAGAGTCCTCTGCCGCCGCCGCCTCGACCTCCGCTACAGTAGGCCTATACTCATCATCATCGCCTGTTTCAACACAGGTCTGCCCACCACCCTGCCACTCTGGATGAGGACTGCTAGGCCAGTAGGAATCCTGTTCCTCAACCCCTGCATCTCCGCCATCGGTCTCAACAGGGTGCTGTAGAGCACTACCCAGCATAAAGCTGGTTCGTGCTGCAGGTGTTGGAAGTCGATTAAAACTAGCACCTGGCAGAGCTCGTCCTTCTTCATTCCCATCTCCGCCTCCCTGGTTAGACTCCCCGTTCATATTCCGTTCAATGTAGCGCCTTCGCGCTGCTGAAGGTGGCGCCTTCGCGCTGCTGAAGGTGGCGCCTTCGCGCTGATGAAGGTGGCGAGATGGCAGTTGGAGGGGTCAATGTCAAATGCAATGCGCTGATTGGTGGATGTCACACACCGCTGCATACTGCCATGGGTGCCATGGGGTGATACGGGATGACAAGGGGTGACAAGGGATGAACCGGGATGACAAGGGGTGACATGGGATGGCATGGCATGAATGGCTCGGACATGCGCTGGTTGGTGGACGAAACACACTGAGGCATGCGGCCATGGGGTGACATGGGGTGGAGTGGGATGGGATGGGATGGGATGGGATGGGATGGCAAGGGATGGGATGGGGTGGGATGCGATGGCATGGCATGGCATGGCATGGGATGACATGGCTGGATGTAGCTTTTAAGGGGCCGCAGAGAGCACATAGCATGTGCACATGGGGTACGCTTTTGAATGTCATTCTCCTAAACTGCAGGTAGACACACGCCTTTCGAAGCGCCTTCTGAGGTGCTCAAAAGCGTGCCGCATGTGTTGCGATTCCCCTGCAGCAGAGCCGATAATCATGGGCATGCATGGAACATTTCCTGCATGAAACGCAATGACACACCTGTAGACAACTCCTGATGTGTTCCGCACGTCCCAGCAGTGAATGGCTGGATTCTACAGAAAGGAATGTAAGTTGACAGGAAGAGATGGAGGCAGTCGGGAAGATGCTGAGGAGGCACGTGAATGCAGAGAATGAGAGCGACGATCGCGGTGCTGAACGTGGCCGCGATCGCCCTGTCCTAATGCGGTGCTGAACGTGGCCGCTGCCTGATCGCGGTGCTGAACGTGGCCGCTGCCTGATCGCGGTGCTGAACCTGGCCGCGATCGCCCTGTCCTAATGCGGTGCCGCGATCGCGCATATGAGGGGCGGCGATCGCGCCAATGCGGGGCCGTGATCGCGCTAAGCAAACGCGGGGCCGAGATCGCGCTATTGCGGGGACGCGATCCCGCCAATGCGTGGCCGCCCGCGCGCTGCTGCGCCCCTGGTCGTGCGACGCTGCGAAATGGCGGGAGCGCCAAACCCTTACCTGAAGATAATATGCAACACGCCATAGTGCTAACATTGAAGAGTGAAAACTGTATGAGGCTCTCTAGCTGCAGCGCAGAAGTACTAGCCTTGATCTAGTTGCTAGACTAGATCAGAATGTCGAGGGAAACAAAACCTAAAAAACAAACCAACCGATGTTCAACCACTACCCTTATCCGAAAACGGGTCGGGTAACCCTGTCATTTGACTGGGTACGCGACCCGGACGGGTCGGGTCAACCCGACCCGGCGGGTCGCAAAAACCCGTCACTAAATCATTGTGACGGGTCACGGGTCGACCCGACCCGTCCGGGTTTTCCCGACCCGACCCGGGCGGGTCGGCCTTCTCAGCATTCCTGACCCGACCCGCCCTTTAGGGCGGGTCGGGTCGGGTTACCCGACCCGTCCGGGTCAAATGCCCATGCTTAGGGAGGGGTGGTGCCAGACCAGACAAGGGGACGGGTGAGAGGGGGGAGTGGGTCAGTAGATGTGGGAGAGGAGTAGTAGGGAGTGGACTCGTCAAAGACCACATCCCGGCTGCGGATTAGACGACCGGATGGTGGGTGGAGGAAAAGGTAGTCAGGGGAGGAGGGATTATGACCAAGGAAGATGCAGGGAAGGGTACGAGGGGCAAGCTTTCCCATGGAACGGGAGCGGTCAGAGGGGTGAATGAGGACATGTGCCTTAGAGCCCCAGACACGAAGTGATGAGCCATCAGGCTTGTCCTTCGTCCACAGCTCAGTGGGGGTGATGGAGGGGAGAAGGGGGTGAGGGTAAAGGTTAGTAAGGAGGGCGGCATGAAGGAGGGCGTAGCCCCAAAGAGAAGGGGGGCAAGAGGCGTGGACAAGCAGAAACCGGGCTGTTTTGGTGATCTCTCGAACACGACTCTCAGCCACGTGTCGGAGTTACCGCTATGCTCTTCTCTGCCTTGATTCTCCTGCTCTGCCTCTCCTTCGTTCCTTCTGCTGCCTCAGCCACTCTCATGAAAGAGTGGTAACTCTCACCTCAAAGGTCCTCTCTGAGTGGTGTGCCACCTGTAGGCAAATCTGAGGTAACAACTGTCCACTATACGAAAGGATAACAAACAGAAAGCATTGTGTGTGTGTGTGAGAGTGAACTTACCTGTCCCTGGCTCGAGCCGTGCATTTCTCAATGTGCGGCTTGAGCCTGGGTTGGGTTTGTTCCCATTGGTCGCGAGGATTTCACCCCCTGGTGTTCTCCTACCAACTTCGCGTCAATTTCCCAGCCTCCCACCTACCCATCCTTGAGCCTGCATACAACAAATACAACACATTACTACACCCTTTCTACACCACAATCATACTGGCACCTTATATGCACAAACGTACATATTCGGTGACAGCTGTCGGAGTTACCGCTATGCTCTTCTCTGCCTTGATTCTCCTGCTCTGCCTCTCCTTCGTTCCTTCTGCTGCCTCAGCCACTCTCTGCCCCCTCCTGTGCCCGTGCTCGCGCAGCTTGAGCGCGGGTCACAGGACCGTTGCGCTGAGGCCCGCTGCCTCTGATCACGGCAGTGTTCGTTTGATGCTCCTTCACTTGCGCCCCCGTGTCATTCTCCAGGACCAGCACCCCTGAAGGGCGCACCTCCTTGACCTTCCAGCGGACCGTACCCAGCCCCACATCCAGGGTGTCTTGCTTTGCCCTCTTGAGGTACACCTCCTGCCCTTCACAGACGCCTCTTGCCACTCGCCCCTCTCCCTTGCGCTGCCTCTGTTCGTACCTCCTTGCGTCCCTCAGCTGTGCAGTGTGCAGGTTCTCCAGTGCCGCTGGCAGCATGTAGCGCATGTAGCGCGCTCTCACCTCGGACAGGGCCACCCAGTTCTTGATCGTGCCTGCTGTCACCGTGTCTGTCAGTACCCGTGGTGCCTCCACTGGCAGGATTGGCTCTCTTCCGTAAAGGAGGCTGTACGGGGAGTGGTCCTTGAGTGCTGCCTGCTTCCCGAACCTGTACCCTGCGGCTATCCAATCCAGCTCCTCATCCCAGTCCCTCTTCCTCTGCTCCCCATAGGCCCGCAGCCCCCGCTTGAAGGTCTGCACCGCTCGCTCGGTCAGCCCGTCGCTTTGTGGGTGGTAGCGGGAGGTTTTTCTGTGCGCTATGCCGGATTCCTTCAGCAGCTTCTCAAATTCCCCCAGAAACTCCGTCCCCTGATCCGTGAGTACCTCCCCGCACGCTCCAAAGCGACACACCACCTGCGCCTTGAAGGCTGCTGCTATGTGCCTCGCGCTCTTGCTGGGGATGGCTTTCACCTCCAACCACTTGCTCGCATGCTCCACCATGAACACGATGTACCGATTTCCGCTCCTGCTGAGCGGCAGCTCTCCCGCGAGGTCCAAGGACCATCGGAATCCCAACCCGCAAATCGGCAGTGAATGCAGTTCTGCTTTGGCCTGCGTTAAGTTTGCCTTGCTCCTCTGACACGCCTCACACCCCTCCACCCACTCTTTCACTTGCTTGCGCATCCCTTCCCACCACCAGCCTGTCTTCAGCAGGTGTACAGTCCTCTCGTGCCCGAAGTGTCCCAGCTTCGTGTGCACCTCCTTGATCACTGCTTCACGGTCCGTGGGTGCAGGCACTAGCTTCCACCCGTCCTCTGTCTTGATCTGCAGCTGCCGCTGATACCACCTGTAGTGGTGCCCCCGTGCCCGCACTCTTTCTGACACTGTCTCGTCTTCCTCTGTTTCTCCTTTCACCCACCGCATTGCCTTCTCGTCCTGCCAGATGTCGGCTGGTCCCTTGCTCCCCTTGGCTCCGACCTCTTCCGCTTCTCTCGCCAGCATGATCAAGGTGTGTGCTGGCTCCAGCTCCGTCCCTTCCGTCCCCTGTGTTCTCTGTCCTGATTCCAGCGGTGGTGGGTTGCGAGAGAGACCGTCGACGTGCTGCAGCGTCTTCCCCGGCCTATGCCTGATCTGGAAATCATATTCTTGCAGCTTCACTGCCCACCTTGCGTTTCTTCCCGTCAGCCCTGGTGTGGTCATCAGCCAAGTGAGGGGCTGATGGTCAGTGACCAGTGTGAACTCGCGGCCCTGCAGGTACACCCTGAAATGCCCCACCGCCCACACGGCCGCCAGCCCCTCCCCTATGTATGAGCTATACTGCGCCTCTGCGGGGTTGCAGCTCCTGCTGGCGTAGGCTACCACTTTTTCCACTCCCTCCACTTCCTGGCACAGGATTGCCCCCATCCCCTGGCTGCTCCAATCGGTGTAGAGGACGAAGGGCTGGTCTGCTGCTGGCAGCCGCAGCACGGTTGCTGTCTTCACGGCTGTCATGAGGTCTTGCAGTGCTTCCCTCTGCTGTTCTCCCCACTCCCATACCTTGTCCTCTCGCAGCATCCCGTTCAGCACTGCCGCCCGCTTACTGAAGTTAGGCACGAAGCGCCTGTAGTAGCTGAGGAAGCCCAAGACTGCGCGCAGCCCTGTCTTGTCCCTGGGTTCCCTCAGCCTGTCCAGCACCTGCACCTTTGCTTGCTGAATCCCGATCTGTCCTCCTGTCACTTCATACCCCAGGTACTGCACTGTCCGCTCCCCCCACCTGCACTTGTTGGGATGACAGGTGAGCCCTGCCTCCTCTATTGCACTCAGGGTCCGCTCCACATCCTCAAGGTGCTGCTGCTCTGTCTGGCTGAAGATGACCACATCATCAATGTAGCATGCTGCATGTTCAATCCCCCGCAGCACCGCATCCATAACTCTCTGAAACACTGCCGAGGCATTCCGCAGGCCGAAGGGCATGTATAACCACTCATACAGCCCGTCCGGTCCGTGGAAGGCTGTCTTCTTCACATCTTCCTCTCTGATTTTTATCTGATTGAATCCCTGGCGCAGGTCCAGCGTCGTGAAGTATACTCCGTCGGCCAGCTTGTCGAAGAGTTCTTCCGCCATTGGCATGGGGTACCTATCCGGCACGGTGATCTTGTTAAGATCTCTGTAATCACCGCACATTCTGCGGCTCAGCACCTCGCCTGTCAAATCCTTCCTGGCTGCCACCACGGTCGGGGTTGCGTACTCTGACTCTGACCTTCTGATCAGTCCTGCTTCCAGCAACTCCTGTACTTTCTCCTTGCAGATCGCCTCATCCCCTGGTGGCATCTTTCTTCTGCGATGGAACACCGGCTCTTCACTGTTCAGCTTCAATGCCATCTCCTTGATCTTGCACTTCCCCAACTCCTGCAGGGTGAAAGCGAAGCCTTTCCTGTGCTTGACCAGTAGTGCCAGCTTCGCTGTCTTCCCTCCCTCGCTCATGCTCTCTCCTATCTTCCACTCAGGCTCTGCTGTTGGCAGGCAGGTCCACACCCCTTGTCTCACCGTTGCCTCTGTATTTTCTCCCTCCTTCAGTCCCCAGTGCAGCACCGTTTCTCTCCACATCCGCTGCACCAACCACCTCATCACGTATCCATCCATTGCATTCCCCATCGCCCGCCTCCTTTCCTGCTCTGTCACGCCCGGGGCTGCTGTGATGTTCTCCTTGTACCCCATAGCCAGCTCCCTCTCCAGGGCCGTGGGCTCTTCCCATCTTCCCTTCCTATGATCGAGCACTAGTCCTGGGCCTGGCTGCTTCCCCTCCATCTGGTACCCTGCTGCCCCTTCATATGACACGAGCGTCGGCAGTGCTTGCCTCTCTTGCCCCACTGTGTTGCAAGGGTAATGTCGGCTGTAGCTCCTCTTGCTTACTGGTGCTGGTGTTCGCCCAGGCTCGAGTATATCGCTCAGCTTCCGCCCCCCTGCTCTTCTCACCCCCTCTATCTCCCTCTGCAGGTCTTCTGCTGGCACCACGTTTTGCCAATACATTCTGAGCCTGTGTGAGTAGGCTCCCATCCGTGTTGCGTCGCAGCTTACCCCTTTTCCCACCTGTCTGGTCACTCGCTCCCTTACCAGCCGTATGGGCTCACGCACATCTCCTTCCATGTCTAAATGCTCCAGCAGGTACGCCACCCTGCCTTGTTGAGCCTGCAGCCATTCCATCACTCTGAACAAGTCCTCCATCAGCTGTGTTCGCAAGTCTTGCTCACCCTTGCCTTTCCCAGCCCATGATACCCCTTGGCACTCCCACCCAGCCACTAACAGGTCCACGTGCCCCCAGCTTGCCACCTCAGCTTCTGTGATGGCCCTGACGTCGTTGACTCCTCTGCTCATTGCTGCCCTGATCACCTCTTCCTTCAACAGCTCCGGGAACTCGCTGTGCAGCTGCCATGCATGATGCTCCGCCATTTTCCTTGCTTCTGCCGCCTTCTCTACGTAAATCCACTGCTTCACTGCTATCCCGTTCCGTACCACCGCTGCCAAACCCGCCCCTATGCCCCCGAAGAGTTCCACCAGGCGGATAGGTTGCTGCCAATCGGATTGTTGGCTGGGCTCGTCCATGAAGTGCATCCTCGGCTGTCCACCCTGTTCCTTGTTCCTCGCGGTCTCCTGTGCCCCCTGCTTCGCTGCCCCCTCCTTCAGATCCGCCCTGTAAGCCCGCTTTGGCTCTGTCTTGACGAACTGCACCGGCAGCTGTCCCAGTGGCTCACCCTTCTTCCACCACCTGGTTCTGAATTCTACCGTCTCCTTCCAAAAGCAGATGGTCATGCCCAGTGCAAAGATCATCTCCGTGCCCACCAAAACGTCGAAATCTTCAGATTCTGAGATCCCACACCTGATCCTCACCGGTGTTTCGTGCTTCTCTCCTTTGAGCACCGTCAGTTCTATTGGAGTCCTTGTGCATGGCATCCACTTTGACTCTCCTCCCTCTGCTGTCATCACCAGCATTCCCTTCACTACATGTCTGTCCGGCGCCCACAGTCCCAGTTTTTCTGCCATTCCCCTCCCTAGTATCACGCTCTGCGCGCCCGTGTCTATAATAGCCGTCTTCGCCTTCTCCCCTTCCACTGACAGCGCACCTCCTTGTATCAGCAGCACTGAAGTCTGGCACGCCAGCCGCTCCTGTGGATGCCGTGCCGCTGTACACCTCTCTTCCTTCTCCTCCGGTTTCTGTCCTCTCTCTCGCTCCTTCCTTACCTGGTCCTTCCGTGCATCCTTTCCTCCGCTGCGTAGCCCCATCTCCTCCCTTCCTCTCCATGCCATGTATGCTGGCTGCTCCTCGTGTTCCACCTCATCCTTCGCTTTGCCTGCCCAGCTCATGAAAGCGGCCTCCTCATCTTGCTCTACATCCTCTTCCTTTTCCTTCCCCGCGTACATCCCCGCTTCTGCCTCGCGTCGTGGTCCCATTGCCTGCAGCTGAGCCTGCAGCCTGCCAATCTGCTTTTCCAGGTCCTCTGGTGTCCTCTTCGCCGCTCCTTCCCGCTGATAACACTCCCTTGCTGCATGCCCTCCCTTCCCACAGATTTCGCACTTCGGAGCTGTTGGGCATTCCCGCCGCCGGTGCCCTGGCTTACCATAGGAGTCGCAGTTCTTGCAGTCTCTGCGCAGGTGCCCTGGCTGCCCGCATCGGTGGCACGTTCGTGCGTCAGTCCTGCTATCCCCTCTTCCCCCTGCCCTTTCCTTTTCCTCTGGTATCATGGCTGCTGCCCATGTAGGTCCTCTGCCACGCTCCGCTGGTCGTTGCCGGTAGGCTTCAAGCTTCCTCTGGGCCATCTCCATCTTCTCAGCTAGCTCAAACACTTCATCAAGTGTCACTTCAGCCCCCATCTCATATACTTTCAGCCTCAGCCCGCTTCCCAAGGTACCCTCCAGGCCGTCCAGGAACTTGCTCACAAGCAGGCCCATGTCCGCACAGCTCACGTCCTCCGCTATGTTGACCAGCCGATTGTAGTAGGTGAGTAGTGACTCTCCCCGCCCCTTCCTAAAGTCTTGAAACTCTCTGATCTTCTCTGCAGTGTGGCCTGGGAACTGCCGCTTCAGCCGCCTCAGAAATTCTTCGGTTGGGTCCTCCCCATACCTTCCTGCCCTCTCCAGTAGCTCATTCATCTTCATCCTGTATAACGTTTCTGCCTCCCCCTCCAGTGTGTTTGGCAGGCTCAGAAAGAACTCCACTGCATCCATGCCGCCCCTCTCGCATCTGTACCGCACGTTGCCCACTTGCATGAGATAATTCTTCAGTGTGGGCCCCAATCGCTGGTCCCCAGAGAAGCGTGCTGGTACTTCCACCCTTGTGACCATGGCTGTACTTCCCTTTCCTTCTCCCCACGCCTCACTATATCTCTCTGCTGTCCTGCCTGCCGTTCCCCTCTCTCCCGCCCGCCGTATTCCCTCCCTCGCCTCTCTGGCTCGCTCCAGGCTGTCCATCAGCCCGCTGCCTCCCACTCTGCTGCTGCGCAGATCTTGTCCTCCTTCGCCGGCACGCCTCTCGTCATGTTGCCGATAACGCTCTGGCGAACGTGCCCCACCGCTTTGCCTTATATCCCTGCTCCGCTGCCGCGGTGGCGAGCGATGTCTGCCCCCGTGACTCTCCTCAAGCTGCTGCCGCCAATCCGGCGAGCGCGCCTCGCCTCTCCACCCTCCTCCAGGATACCGTTGCGCGTCAGGCGAGCGCTGGACATCTCTGCTCCTCCCATCATGATAGCGCTGCAGATCTGGTGAGCGTGAGCCCCTCTCGCTCCTCCCGCCGTGATACCTCCGCGGATCTGGTGAACGCGTGCTGTCTCCGCGCTCCTCCCCACGACGCTGCCGTGGATCTGGCAAGTGGTGACCACTTCCGCGCATTTCGTCGTGCCACTGCCGCACATCAGTCGAGCGGTAGCCGCCGTCGCGCCTGTCCTCACGCTGCTGCCGCGAATCTGGCGAGCGGTTGCCGCCGTCACGTCTGTCCTCGCGCTGCCGCCGCGGATCTGGCGAGCGGTAGCCGCCGCCGCGCCTCTCGTCACGCCGCAGCCGCGGATCTGGCGAGCGATGGTCGCCGCCGCGCCTCTCGTCACGCTGCAGCCGCGGATCTGGCGAGCGATGGTCGCCGCCACGCCTCTCGTCACGCTGCCGCCGCGGATCTGGCGAGCGATGGTCGCCGCCGCGCCTCTCGTCACGCTGCAGCCGCGGATCTGGCGAGCGATGCCCGCCGTCGCGCCTCTTGTCTTGCTGCAGCCGCGGATCTGACGCATGCCTCTCGCCACCATGATTCTGGTCGTGGTGCTGATGGGGGGTCGGCGAGCGCGATCCACGGCTACGCCTCCTGTCGTCGTTGCCTTCTTCACCACGCGTCTGGTTCCGCGCACCATCCTTCCCGCCTATTTCTGCCGCGCCTGGCGCAGCCTCCTCGCTCGCCAGCATCGGACTGGCTTCCTTGACTTCGGCGTGCATATCGCGCTGCTCGCCCGCGCCTTCCTCATGGGCCTCGTCATCGCCCTTCGCTTCACTCTCGAGATCCATTTCGTGCGGCTTCTCCGCCATATCGACCTCGCCCTCCCCATCCACATCGAGATCTCCTTGCCGACCAGAGAATAGCTCCTCCAGGCCACGCCCGCGACTGCGATCTTCGCGACGGCGGTAACCTTCGTCCGGCGAGCGATACGCTCCCGTGTCGTGGCGATGTCCGCATTCGCCACCAGCCCCGTGGTGCGTATCCGTCCGCCACGGGTCACTTCCCATCCTGACGGACTCGGATCCGCCTCTTCCTTCGCGCTCTGCACCTTCTTCACGGCGATCTGGCGCGAGAGGGACCAGATCGGCGCGAAAAGCCGGCCTCCGCGGCGAGCGCTCAGGCCTCCGCGGCGAGCGGTCAGGCCTCCGCGGCGACCTCTCTAGCGAACGCCCGCGCTCTCGTGAGCGCTCCCGCCGCGAGCGATCACCCTCACGACGATCGTACTTCCTGCCATAACGCAACTCGTGCACATCCATGCTTGCACGCGCACCTTTCTGTTTGTTATGAAAGAGTGGTAACTCTCACCTCAAAGGTCCTCTCTGAGTGGTGTGCCACCTGTAGGCAAATCTGAGGTAACAACTGTCCACTATACGAAAGGATAACAAACAGAAAGCATTGTGTGTGTGTGTGAGAGTGAACTTACCTGTCCCTGGCTCGAGCCGTGCATTTCTCAATGTGCGGCTTGAGCCTGGGTTGGGTTTGTTCCCATTGGTCGCGAGGATTTCACCCCCTGGTGTTCTCCTACCAACTTCGCGTCAATTTCCCAGCCTCCCACCTACCCATCCTTGAGCCTGCATACAACAAATACAACACATTACTACACCCTTTCTACACCACAATCATACTGGCACCCTATATGCACAAACGTACATATTCGGTGACACACGCCGTTCTGCAGTGGGGAGTGAGGGAGGGTGTAAGTCTGAAGGATGCCACGAGACTGACAATAGGAGGAGACTTGGTTGTTAAGGAACTCACCACCTCCATCAGAGTGAAGGCGGCAAACAGGGCGCCCAAAATGGGTGTTTGCCCGCTCGAGCCAGGCGATGATCGCAGCCGGGGCATCCGCCTTCGTCCGAAGGAGAGAGACGGACGAGTACCGACTGTGATCATCAACAAGCACGAGAAGGTAGCGATGGCCCTGGCGAGTGGGAGAGGGATTAGGGCCCCATAGGTCCATGTGAACAAGATCAAGTGGCTGCGTAGCAACGGAGGGGGAGCTCCGGTGCGGCTGCTGCTTGAGCTTGCTCTGAACGCAGACGGTGCAGGGGGGGGCAGGGGATTTGGGGAGGGGAGGGAGGGAGGAGGGGAGACCGTGGAGGAGACCGGAGGAGACAGAGGAGCGCAGAGTAGCGAAATTGGGGTGGCCTAGCCTGTGATGGAGGAGGATGGTGGGGTGGGAGAGGGAGCGACAGGAACAGTCAGAGTCAGGAGGGCGGGGGGGGAGGGGTGGGTTAGTGGGAGGGAGGGGAGGGGGGGGGGGGGAAGGAGGGGGGGGGAGGCAACTTGGAAGGTGAGGGGGCGGGGAACCCGAAGGGTGTACAGACGGGAGCGAGGACAATAGGGAATACGGGCGAGAAAACGACCTGTGGAGGTTTGGTATAGGTCACAATGGTTAGCACCACCTGGGATGAGAGTGGTGATCATGGCTTGTTGGAGGGACCTTTGGGAGAGGAGGTTAGTACGAAGGGAGGGAATGTGGAGACCGGTGACAGTACCTGAGGGAAAGAGAGGACAGGGAAAGGTGGAGGTGTTGTGACAAGGGATGGAAAAACGGCTATCAGCGCCGAGGAGGGAGGTTGGTGTGGGGAGAGGGCGCAGTGTACCAGCGTCGCGAAGGACAGTGTCAGTGGCTCCACTGTCCAGAACGAAGTCAATGGTGGAGGAAGGTGAGGCAGAGTACTGGAACGAAGTTTCATTAGCAGAAGAAGGGTACATGGGAGATGCAACAGATTCAGGTTGACCTAATAAACCAACAAAACCAGAGGAAGGGAAAGCGGTCACATTGCCACCTGCAGACGGCGCCGGGGACGCACCCGAGAGATGGGCTGCAGAGGCAGCACTCCCAGCAGTCCAGGTAGGAAAGGGCTGCTGCTGGGAAACCGGAGGAGGAGGGAGGAGGGGCAGTTGCGGCTGGAGGTCGAGCTGCTGCTGGAGATGCTGGAGCTGCTGCTGGAGCTGAGAGAGGAGAAGCTGCTGCCCATACTGTTGTGACCCCTGCTGCTGATTCCCAAGCTGCTGCTGCTGTTGCTGCTGCTGGTGCTGCTGCTGGGGAGGGGCGAGGGCTTGGTGGGCGTGGGTGGAGGAGGGAGGTTCATAAAGGGGAGAGGAACGGACCTCAAGGGGAGTGGGGTGAGGGTTGAGGGCGGACCAGCGAGGAGGGGTGCCGGTGTTGCCACGGGCAAACCACTCATCACTGAGTGCCTTGAAGCACGTCTCAGTGGCATGGGTGGTTTGGCCGCAGCGCTGTCCCTGAGTGGGACCGTAGCGAGGCAGGTACTGACAGGGAGGAAAGGCAGCTGCCGTACCACGACCCGCACCACTGCTGCCAGCACCACCGCGACCTGCTGATCCCCCTCGTCCACCCCCACGCCCACCACCACGCCCACCCCCACGCCCACCGCCACGTCCACCCCGGCTGCTGCGCGACTGGGCTGCTGCGGCTGTGGAGGAAGAGTGGCGAAGGATCTCCGCTTCGGTGGTGATAATCCACTGAGCGACTTCGGCAGGGGTGTGGTGCTTGGAGATAAGCTGCATGTAAGCAAGCTTGTGAGCGTCGAAGGCAGGTGTGAGGCCCTCGAGGAGGTGGCAGCAGATGACGGTGTCCGGGTACACCACATTGAGTGTTGCAAGGCGCCGAGCAAGGTCTAAGACACGGCGAGTGAAAGCAGCTGCGCCAGAAGTGGAATCCATGGAGAGAGTTCCAAACTCCTTGATAAGGGCGTAAAGAGTGGCAACGTCCTGCCGATCGAAAAGGTCGACTAGCAGTCGCCACAGGTGGGAGGAGGAGGTAGGTGAGAACTCGCGTTTGAGGGAGGAGGGGATGGTGGCGAGAAGAATGGCAAGCGCACGCCGATGAGCAACCCGCCAGGCATTAATTTTCGTGGTGTAGTCTGCAAGTTCTGCAGTGTAGGTGTCCAGGTCCTCCTGGTACGTGCTGTAGCGGGCAGCGGCCTCGTCATGGATGCGCCTGTCGTCCTCGTAACGCAATTGCAGGCGCAGGTGCTCTTGGAGATTGGTGCGGTAGGTGCGAATGGCGGTTTCCGAGCTCTGCGGGTCGTTGACATTCGGCGCGAAGGTGGGAGGATCACCGGGGGGAGAGGGCTCGGCGCCAGGGTGGGCGGGGGCAGGTCCAGTAGGAGCGGTGGGGGCCACGGGCTGAAGTCCACCGCCTTCCTAAAAGACAACCGAGCGAAGGTTGTAGCCGCTGACCACAACAGAGGAGAGGAGCACCTCAACGGAATGAGCATAAGAGTGCCAATTAGCAGCAGAGTTGTCAGGCAGCAACTCGAGTGCGTCAACAGTGGCAAGGTCGACGGAAGAATCGGACGACGATGCCATAGAGATGAGGGTGGGTAGAGGCTAGGGCAGGAGGAGGATGGTGCGAGGGTACCGTTGCCAATGCTGCTGCTGGCCCTGCTGCCCGTGCGGCTGCTGGTTCTGCAGCTGGTGCCGCTGCGGATGCTGCTGCGGGTAGGATGGGAGGAGGAAGGGAGGAGCGGAGGGTGGGGAAGGTGGAGGAGGAGGAGGGCGATGCTATGGGGGATGCAAGGGGGAAGGGTGCTGCTGGTGGTGCCGCTGCAGGTGCTGCTGCTGGTGCTGCTGCAGGTAGGATGGGAGGAGGAAGGGAGGAGCGGAGGGTGGGTTGGGTGGAGGAGGAGGAGGGCGATGCTATGGGGGAGGAATGGGGGGAGGGTGCTGCTGGTGGTGCTGCTGCGGGTACAATGGGAGGAGGAAGGGAGAGAGGGGAGGGGAGGGGACGAAGAGGGCAGCCGTGCGGCAGATCCGCGCGACTGGGAAGCCCGTGGCGAATGCACGCGGGACAGCCTGCGGCAAACGAGCGGGACGTGCAGAGATGGGCGCGAAATGGTCAGATTTCAGCGCGGGAGATGCAGATCTGGTCGCGCGGAGGGCAGATCTGGTCGCGCGGAGGGCAGATCTGGTCGCGCGGAGGGCAGATCTGGTCGCGCGGAGTGCAGATCTGGTTGCGCGGAGTGCAGATCTGGGCGGAGGGCAGATCTGGGCGCGCGAAGTGCAGATGTGGTCGCGCAGAGTGCAGATCTGGTCGCGCAGAGTGCAGATCTGGTCGCGCGGAGTGCAGATCTGGGCGCGCGGAGGGCAGATCTGGGCGCGCGAAGTACAGATGTGGTCGCGCGGGGTGCAGATCTGGTCGCGCGGAGTGCAGATCTGGTCGCGCGGAGTGCAGATCTGGTCACGCGGAGTGCAGATCTGGTCGCGCGGAGTGCAGATCTGGTCGCGCGGAGGGCAGATCTGAGCGCGCGGAGGGCGGATCTGGGCGGGCGGAGTGCAGATCTGGGCGCGCGGAATCCAGATCTGGGCGCGGAATGATCAGATCTAGGCGCGGGAGGAGTAGATCTGGTCGCAGGGAGTGCAGATCTGGGCGCTGGAGTTGCAGATCTGAGCGCGGGGAGTGCAGATCTGGGCGCTGGAGTTGCAGATCTGAGCGTGCCTTGGAGGGCAGCGCCTTAGGGGGCGCACGGGGAGGGAGGACAGCGCCTAAAGGGCGCGTGAAGGGAGGACAGCTCCGTGGGTGGGGGTAGATCTGAGGAACGGGGAGGAGAGGGTGGCCTAAGGACCGAGGGAGGTAGGCGTGAGCCATTAGCTCATGATACCATGTTAGAAGAGAGAGAATTGATACATTGAATAATGAGCCAAGAGGCTCTTTAGTACAAACAATGAGCAAGAGAGAGATGAGAGGGAAGCTTACCCTATTGGCCAATAAGTTGGCCAATGGGTGAGCTTGCTTGTGACCCAAGCAACCACAAATGTGTGTTGGTTGGGATTGGTTGAGCTAAGGACCAATCCCAACCAACCACAAAATGTGGTTGGAGGGTACACTAAGCAACCCCCCAATTTATAAATGTGCTACACTTCTAGCCTATGTATGTTGTATGAGATATGAAATTACAACACGGGAAGCAGGCATGCTTTTGAGTCGACTCAAAAGCATGGTACAGGTTCGGGAAGCAGGCATGCTTTTGAGTCGACTCAAAAGCATGGTACATGTTCGGGAAGCAGGCATGCTTTTGAGTCGACTCAAAAGCATGGTACAGGTTCGGGAAGCAGGCATGCTTTTGAGTCGACTCAAAAGCATGGTACAGGTTCGGGAAGCAGGCATGCTTTTGAGTCGACTCAAAAGCATGGTACAGGTTCGGGAAGCAGGCATCACTAAAGGACTACTCCCCGTATAGCCTGCTGTATGGAAAGGAACCAATACTTCCTGTGGGAGCACCAAGGGTACTGACGGGGGTGGTGAGCGTGAAGGGAGCAGAACAATGGGTGGCGATGGCAGAAACACGAGCACGATACATGCGGGAAATGCTGACTTTTGAGTCGACTAAAAAATGCTGACTTTTGAGTCGACTAAAAAATGCTGACTTTTGAGTCGACTAAAAAATGCTGACTTTTGAGCCGACTAAAAAATGCTGACTTTTGAGTCGACTAAAAAATGCTGACTCTTGAGTCGACTCAAAAGTTGACCGTGAAGGGAGCAGAACAATGGGTGGCGCTGGCAGAAACACGAGCACGATACATGCAGGAAATGCTCCCGGCAGCCTTGGAGAACTTGCACACGGCGCAGCTGAGAGATGCCCACAGATATGAGCAGCGACAGCAGCAAGGGGGCAGGAAAGCAAAGCCAGCAGAGCAGGCTGAGGCGGAGCAGGTAAGGTATCACAGGAACAGAGCTTGGAAGAAGAAGGGAGGGAGGGTGAGTGCAGGAAGGAGAAGGCAAGCCATGGGATGCCACAGATGATGTGTTTTTCGACATGACCTTGTAAGTCACCAGTTCTGATACCTATTTCACAGCGTACCTGGAAAGGATGTTCCGATGCCAGCAGGGTGCCGCATTCAACCACTGGGTGCAGGTGGGGGGGGGGGGGGGGGTTAGATGTAACAAGTCAGCCTGTTACTTGTCAGGATCTGGCGAATCTGGGGAGGAGCTTGAGATGCAAGCAGGGTGCCACATTCAGCCACTGCAAAGTTGCGAGTCACATCTCGCCATTCCTGTGCGCGAGCTGCCATTTGCGAAGGGCAACGTCACTGCCCACCTGGAGAGGCTGTTCCGGTTCAAGCAGGGGGCTGCTTACAACCACTGGTTGCAGGTGGGGAGGGGGGATGGTTATGAGAAGAGGGAGAGGCGTTGAGTGAATGTGTAAAGCATGCTGTTTCAATTCAACTTCACGAGTTATCTTGGGAGGCTGTTCCGATGCAAGCTGGGGGCAGCTTACCACCACTGGGTGCAGGTGGGGAGGGGGGAGGGAGGGTGATGAGAGGTGTGAGAACTGTTGAGTGAATGTGTCTGACATGCTGTTTCAACTTCACGAGGTATCTTGGGAGGCTGTTCCGATGCAAGCAGGGGGCTGCTTCGGAGGTGCTTTCCACACCGATATCGACAAATATTTCTCTCTCCTCCTCCCCTTCTCCCTCCCCTCTCCTTTTCCCATTCCTCTCCCCGTCTCCCGCCCCATCCTCCCAGCACTATGCATCGGAGGTGCACTGGGCTTTCCACACCGATATCGACAACCTTTCCCTTCTTCCACATCAGAGATCTCCTCTCTCCTTCCTCCCTCTCGCTCTTCCCTTCCCTTCTTCCTCCCAGCACTATGCATCGGAGGTGCACTGGGCTTTCCACACAGATATCGACGAGTATTTCTTTTCCCCGGCCGGCACGCCGCCCGGCTTTCTTCGTCACTACCTGCAGAAGCTGCCAAACACAACAGTACAGGTGGGTGGTTTTCGTTGTTGCTGGCTGCAACACCACCAGGTGCATATATTTTCGGCCTACGTAGGTGAGCACGTGAGCGCGTGAGCACGTGAGCGCGTGAGCACGTGAGCGCGTGAGCGCGTGAGCGCGTGAGCCCGTGAGCACGTGAGCGCGTGAGCACGTGAGCGCGTGAGCGCGTGAGCACGTGAGCGCGTGAGCGCGTGAGCTCGTGAGCGCGTGAGCTACACGTTCCGCATGCTCGACTCCTCCGGCCGAACGCCACCACACCAAACCCATTCATGGCTGCCCCTCGCCGCACACCTTATGGGCGACGCCTTTCAAGTGCAACACTGATCCCTCCTCTCCTCCTCTCCCTCTCCCCTTCCCTCCCCTCATACCCCCTCAGGTTCTGCTCCAGAGCATGTTCTTCCTTGGGGATCGAATAGCCTCTGACACGCATCCCAGCGCATCCCAGCGCATCCCAGCGCATCCCAGCGCATCCCAACGCATCCCAACGCATCCCAACTCCTCTCAGATCCTCTCTCTTCACCCCTTTCTTCCCCTTCCCCTTCCCACGCATACAGGTTCTGGTCCAGAACATGTTTATCCTGGGGGATCCAATAGGCTCTCACACCGACACGCTGCTAGAGCGCTACACCTTGCGCATGCCTCACTCTACCTGTTTCCTTGCCCCTTCCTGTTTACCTTCACATCTCTCCCTCACAGGTGCTGTGTCGTGAATCCCCCTCTGCTGTCCCCTCCTTCTCACTCTCCCTTGAATCCCTGCCTGACTTCCTCCTCCCTCTCCCTCCGCCTCTCATCCAGGTGACCGGCTCATCCCTTCTTCCTCCTGACGTATGTAATCACTCTGTTCTGATCCCCTCCTCGTATCTCAGGCTTCCCAGAAACAAGACTTAACTCCCTCGCAAGGGCTCCGCCGATTTGCTTCAGCTCCTCTCTACTGCTAGTTCCCCGTGGATTAGGAAATCACAATTGCAGTAAATGAGAAACATACAAGCAAAAAGCAATGAGTCCGAGTGCTACTTCCGACTACATCCTCTCCTGCCTAGGTGCCTTGTCCCGCAAGCTACCTCTACTTCTAAGCGCGAGTCAGCCGAGCTGATCGCGTAGGCTTCAAGGTGCTAGCTGGGTCCCACCGGGCCCACTAGGCATGCACCGCCTTCCAGCCTGTGAATGTCGAATTGAATTCCCAGGCTGGCTAGAATCGAATTCGCCCTCATCCTCCTCACCAACCCCCTCGAACTCCTCAGTAGCTTGACTCTGTATAGTACAGTAACATTCCAAAAAGAGCAAACAAAGTAAAATGCAAAAAGCAGTAAACTATAGTACACCTCACCTTGGCTGCTGTGGAATTCACACTTAGTTGCCAGCTAAGTGTTAATAACGCGACAGCTGGTTCAAAACATGTTCTTCCTTGGAGATCCAATAGGCTCTCACACCAACACACTGCTGGAGCGCTACACCCTGCGTATGCCCACATCGTCTCAGCACCACCTGCTTTCCCCCGTTCCTGTTCTCTCATTCACAGGTGCTGGTTCAAAACATGTTCTTCCTTGGGGATCCAATCGGCTCAGACACCAACACACTGCTAGAGCACTACACCCACCGCATGCCCACCTCCTCCGGGCGCCTCCGCACTAAGCCCATTGCATGGCTGCCCCTCGCTGTGCACCTCAGTGGTGATGTTTTCATCAGCCCCCACCAGTGGCCTATGATGGAGAATGGCCGGCCGCCATTGGTTGATACGGGGGTGCTGAGGCTGAACCACTACTGGGGGGACCGCGCCGGGGTGATTTCGGACAATACCCCGGATTACAGGATTGATGTCACGATGATGAGCGAGTATGGGGATGGGCTCGTGAAGGATGAGTCAGCAAAGGTGAGGGATGAGCTGGCACAGGGGAGGGATGAGCTGGCAAAGGTGAGGGATGAGCTGGCAAAGGTGAGGGATGAGCTGGCAAAGGTGAGGGATGAGCTGGCAAAGGTGAAAGATGAGCTGGCAAAGGTGATGGATGAGCTGGCAAAGGTGAGGATGAGCTGGCACAGGGGAGGGATGAGCAAACTGAGGGGAGTGATTTCAGAACGGAGTGTTCTCATGCTCTTACACCTGCCTGCCTTCTTACCCACTTGCGTCCCCACCGCCCCTCTACATCTTCCACCCCACTCGCCCCACTCTTCCCTTTCCTCCTCCTCCCATCCCTTGCCCTCCCCTCCCACCTCCCCCTCCCCACCTCCCACCTCTCCCTTCCCACCTCCCACCTCCCGCCGCTCCCTTCCCCCTCGCTCCCTTGCCCTCCTGTCCTCCGTAGCCCATGGGAGTGTGGCTGCGGCAGCGCATGCAGGTGGCATGGACGGTCATTTCAGCCCAGGCGGTTCACAAGGAGAGGAAGCGGCTCAGGAAACGTGTGGCTGAGGTGAAGACACGTGTCAGGCAGCTAGAGGCTCTCGTGCCGCCGCTGTTGAATGAAGGAGGAGGCAAGGGAGTGAGGAGAGAAGGGAACGAAAGGGACATGGAAGAGGAGTGGGGGTAAAAGGAGGAGGAGAGGGAGAAGAGGGAGGGGAGGAAGGGAAGGAGAGTGAGGAAGCGAGGGAGTTGGAGGCTGGGGTGAGCATGAGGTGAATGTGCTGACACATAATGAGGCCATGGGGGAGGGTGATGGTGATGGTGGTGGTGACAAGATGCTCGGAGGGAACATTATGATGGGTGAGGTTTTCCTTGCAACACATTCACAAGGCGACTAATGCCACGGCTGCTGCAAATGCTACTGCAGGCACAAATGATACCGCGGGTGGTATTGTCAACACGGGTGGAAATGCTACCGTTAGTGCAAATGTTACCGCTAGTGCAAAGTTTTGAGGGTTGCTGGTGGTGCAATAAATGAACTATATTGATATTAAGCAACCACCTTCCTTCCGGCCCCCATCCATATACATATGTAACTAATGAAACATAATTTGCATATCCAGATACCTGTTTTCTACAGACTTCCGGTTTGCCAACACGGAGGCGTGAGCATGTTTGTTATGTTATTCCACATTTTTATTGCGTGATGGTTACCAAGAACGAAATTACTTCATGGAAACGACTTCACATTTAGAACGCGTTTGTGCAGAGTACGATGCGAGTGGTGCAGAGAGGCGGAGTTCTCATCTGCGGCTGGGAGCTATCGAGAAAGATTCCGTGTTCGAATCTCGAAGCGTTAATTATGCGACATCTTGCACGGGTTCGTCGCGGACAAAAAAACCATCATCTTTCGTCCGTGAAACGCGGACGACGCCTGCAACCTCAACGCCTGCTAGGAATACGCGCGAAGTTACACCCGTAGTTAGGCTATGTCATCGATTGCAATGGTTTCGTACACTTAGTATTCGATGAGCAATGGATGTCTTGTTAGCAGGCTATGTCAACGATTGCAATGGTTTCGTACACTTAGTATTCGATGAGCAATGGATGTCTTGCTAGCAGGCTATGTCAACGATTACTGACGCAACAGATTACGTCAAATCAAGAAACCCATCGCTACGATCTTCACTATGCAACGAATGGCAGTGAGACACGTAGCCGATGATCTCCAGGCTACTGGGATGTGAAAGGAGTCAGTATCACCGGCGAAAATCCCAATCAGCCCTGTGTTACAGCTGATCGTTTTCGGAATTATTTTAGAATGACGGAGAATTCTCAATATTCAACCAGAATGGCGGAATCTACTACAAGAGTGGCAGGCGAGTTTCTTCCATTGATGTTCCAGCCAATTCGATTTTTATATTCGACTCAAAAAAGGCATCTTGATTGCCCCCGGTTTGCCCACAACCCGGTCGTCAATGGTTCGGAGGTGTTTAGGGTCGCAGCTTGTTTTACTTCCAAATTGCCCAATTGTTAAAAGGTAAACGCGACAACTTCCCCCCAACCCTCCATCAGCAGCACCTTCCAAGAAGCCCTCTCGCCGCCGGTCCTCCAGGCGGCAGCGCTGGGCGGCAGTGACGTCATCCTGGGCGGCGGTGTTTGTCGTGGCCCTGGGCCTGCTGACGTGGACGTTTTACCTGTATTCTGCCACCCACCGCCTGCTGCTCTCTCCGCCCTCTGCCTCTGGCTCTACCCTCTCATCGCCTCGCAAGCTGCAGGAGGTCGTCTTTCTTCATGTCTCCTTCCCCTCCGTTCTCTCCCCCCTCGCCTTCCTTTCTTTCGCCTCTCCCTCCGTTCCCTCCTTTCCGTCCTCTCTTTGCCCTCTCTTTTCTCCTCCCTCTCCCTTCTCTCACTGATCTGTCTCCTCTCCCTGGCTTGCCCTTCCGCCCGCTAGCTTCTCGCCCTAACCGCTATGCTTCTCCCTCTTGCTATTCTGCTTCCAACCTTCCGTCTCATTTTCTTTCTTCTCTTCTTATACCTCCCTTTCTTTGCACGTCATCTCCCCTTCCTTTTCGTCCTTCTCTTCTCCCTTAACTCCCTTGCCCTGATTCATTCACGATTCCACTGCATCAATCAGATGACGCCACGTGGCAATTCAGGGCAGCAATTGGTGGGAGGAAGCAGGGGGGAAATCAAGGAGGAGTGGGGTCAAGAAGACAGAGAAGCAGGGCGTGTGAGGGAGGATGGGGGCATGGGGCAAAGGCGAGGAGTGGCTGGGGCCAATGGGATGGAGGATGGGGAAGAGAGAGGGGACAGTGGGGTTGATAAAGGGCAGGAGAAGGGCAAAGAGCAGGGAGGGAGAGAGGGGCAGGGAGAGGGGCCTATACATGGGGAGGGAGGAGGAGATGGAGGGAAGGATAGGGCAGCACTGGAGCAGGGAAAGGGGGAAAGTGACGGGGTGATGGGGACGTTGGAAGCACAGATGACGGCGTTGCAGCGGCAGCAGGCAGAGGTGCAAGCGTGGGAGGAGGAGGTGATAAAGAGAATAGCGGCAGTTGAGAAGCGGGAGTGGGATGTTGCGAGGAAGGAGAAAGAGATTGATGCAAAGTGGAAGGAGATGAAGGAGCGGAAGGAGGAGGAGGGGGTGAAGGAGTGGGAAAAGGAGGGGGAAGAGGAGGGGGAAGAGGAGGGGGATGGAGTGGGAGAGTTAGTGAGAGTGAGTTCGAGAGGAGAGGAAATGGCTGGTTTAGGGGGAGCTAGTAACGCAAAGGGCACGGAAGTGATTATAAAGGATGTGACAGCAGACAAATTGCAGACAAACAGCAGTGCTACTGTTGAAATTATGAAGGGCGTGACTTTAGTGAAAGCGGGGAAAGGAAGGTCAGGAGCAGGAGCAGCAGCAAGAGCAGGAGGAGGGGGGGGAGGGATAGGGTCTGGTGGAGGTGGTGGTGGCAGGGGCATGCGGCATGACGTGATGGAGGCACTTCAGATGCTGAAGCTGGGTGTGAGATCGTTGCAAGAGAACATTGAGACGGTGCTGCACACTGAAAGCAGGTGAGGGAGAGTATTGAGGCTGGGGGAGAGTATTGAGGCTGGGGGAGGGGATTGAGGCTGGCTCTGAGGCGCCTCAAAAGAATCTAGAGGAGCGCGAGATTCTGTTTTTGAGTCGACTCAGTACTTGAAAGGTTAGAGGCACCTTGAGATTCTCAAGCTGAATCTGAGAGGGCTAGGATGAGCCTGTGTCGCACTAGCATTCTTTTGAGGCGCCTCAAAAGGCTGGGAGGAGCCTGTGTCGCACTAGCATTCCTTTGAGGCGCCTCAAAAGGCTGGGATGAGCCTGTGTCGCACTAGCATTCTTTTAGAGAGGCGCTTGAGATTCTCAAGCTGAATCTGAGAGGGCTGGGAGGAGCCTGTGTCGCACTAGCATTCTCCTTGTTGTGCTTCTTCCTCCCTCCTTGTCCCCATCGAAATCACTTTTGTGTCGCACTAGCATATCCTCGTGCTTCTTCCTCCCTCCTTGTCCCCATTTCCCCATTCCTCCATCTTTTCTAGCTCAACCCTCATGCCCTCAACACGATAGCATGTGCAACATTCCTGCCCCAGTGACAGCAACCCTTCCCCTTTCGTGCTTCTTCCTCTCCCTTCATCAATCCTCCTTCCCCTTTCGTGCTTCTTCCTCTCCCTTCATCAATCCTCCTTCCCCGGTCCTCCCAGCCTCGACGAACCATCCACCCTCACGCCTTCGACGCGACGCAGCATTCCTGAATGATGTTGCAGGTTGCTTTTTAGCATTCTCAAAAACAACCAGCAACATCATCGACTGCAGCGTTCTTGAATGATGTTGCAGGTTGCTTTTTAGCATTCTCAAAAACAACCAGCAACATCATCGACTGCAGCGTTCTTGAATGATGTTGCAGGTTGCTTTTTAGCATTCTCAAAAACAACCAGCAACATCATCGACTGCAGCGTTCCTGCACCTGCCTCCTGCCTCCATCGAAACCGCCAGTGACGCTCACACTCACCTTGCACCCTTACGTTTCTCTTTTCTCCTTTCCCTGTCTCGCATGCTCCTCCCAGCCTCCACCCTCACGCCTTCAACGCGAGTGCAGCATTCCTGCACCTCCCTCCCGGCTCCATTGAAACTGCCACACCAGCAGCAGGAGCAGCATCATCATCACCACCACCACCACTAACACCAGCAGCAGCAGCAGCAGCAGCAGCAGCAGCAGCAGCAGCAGATGAGCCAGCAGGATCACAGGCAGCAGCTGCAGCCCCCAAGGCTTCAGAATTTCCGAAGCAGTATGTGCGGGAAGCAGTGGCAGGGCCGCTGGTGATAGCGGGCATGGTGTATAACCGCGTGTTTGATGGGGACTACACTCGCTTCTGGGCGCTGCATGTGTGGCAGGTGAGTGTGGCACATGAGTATGGCACGTGGGGGGTGTGGCACGTGGGGGGTATGGCACGTGGGGGGTGTGGCACATGGGTATGGCACGTGGGGGGTATGGCACGTGGGGGATGTGGCACGTGGGGGGTGTGGCACGTGGTTATGGCACGTGGGGGGTGTGACACGTGGGTATGGCACGTGGGGGGTGTACTCAAAATGACTTTAGAGTCGACTCTAAAGTCACCACGTGTCAATCTCCCTCCGTCCAGCCCCTTACCGTGTGACGTGTCTGCCTGCCAGCACAGAGCCTTGTTTCTGTTACTATTCTTTCCTTCCTTTTCTCGCCCTATTTCTGCTCCTGTTTTGTATATTCCATGCAGTGGTTGGAGTACCATCGATACGCAGGAGTGACTCGGTTCTACTGGTACGATGAGGCAAGGAGCACAGAAGAGGACCAGGTGTGTGTGTGGGGTAGTCGTTGCTGCTCTGCTGCTGCTGTTTGTTTAACCTTGTAAGAATTCAAGTGACTCTGCTCACTTTTGAGTAACGAGGGGTTGACTCTGCTCAAAAGTCACCTCTGTTTTTTAAACCTTCTAACCATTCGAGTGACTCTGCTTTACTGGCTGATGGCGGCGTATACCACTTCCCCTTTAGTGACTCAAATGAAGCGGTGACCTGTCATGCAAATGAAACAATGCTGAGCCTCTTTCCCCATCCTCACACCTCCCCTTTGTCCTCCCTACGCCTCCACAGGGTGTGACGTGCGGTCCTGTCCCGTACATCAATGCCCACCTGGTGTGGTG